AGTAAAATTAAAATTTGTTTCCATACAACAAGCATGTGTTCTAAATCTACAAATTACGAAAAATGTTTGAATTCACATGATTTTACATCTGTGAAATCAAAAAAACAGTTATAGAGACTAGATATAAAAGTACCTACTTATAATTTAAATATTATTTTATGCTATTTCAAGCAAATAGTAAGCAAGTACATACATAATTTCCATTATTTTTGAAATGAGTATGTTTAACAATTTCCAGTTTTATAATTTCATCTGAACTAACCTTTATCATTTAGGCAATATGCTGGTACCACTACGATGAAAGATTTGCGGTTTTGTCATTGACTTTGAAAGAATTTCTACTTCGTAATCTTGTGGTTCTTTTAAATGTGCACGCATTTTCGAAATGGAACAGACTATAAATCAAAAAACTCATTTCCAAGGTAAGAAATAGTTGCAAGCATGATTTTTTTTTTATAATCTAATCAACAAAATCTGAACATAAACAAGAAAATGTTCTAAACAATATAAAACAACAACGAAATACAAAAATAATAATAATGCTATTATGTCCATGTTCATGGACTTTTGTCTGTAAATAAAGGTTGCACCGACAGTCCTTTTAGAATGCAGAAAATAATATTATTTATGTGACTGCAAACTAATACACATTACGTTAAAAGCGTTGTTAAAATGTGGGCATTAACTTTAAAGAAAAAGGTAGCATAGAGACAAACGCGAGTAAAAATTGAATACCTCTAATACGCGTACTATAACTACACATTCTGGTTCTTTTAGTGTTACTTTAATTTTGCTACGTTATAACTTGTGACACATACTTGTAATTACTTCTTTCTTAAAATGTCGTATTTCAGATTTACGGTCGGCACTAGCTTCGCTCAGGTGTGGGAAATACATAATTAAACTCATCAAAGATTCATCACAATCGATTAAATAGTTTAGGAATGCATACGTACTTATTATACAAATCAACAAATGTATTTGTATAATGTATATGTTGATAGTTAAATATATGTAGATAATTATTTTAATGTACAGATAATCCTTATTAGGTAGGTACTAGCGGGTCACCCTCCCTTCATCGGGTTCGCCTCTAGGAAAACAAAAACAAGCTATCCCACGGGAACCGTATATTTTTCCGGGATAAAAAGCCTATGTGTTATTACATAGTATACTTAATCTATCTCTGTGCCAAATTTCATTCAGATCCGTTCAACCGTTCTGGTGTGAATGAGTAACCAACATCCATGCTCACAAACTTTCATATTTATAATATCTATTAAATATGGATTAAATAATTAAATTAACTATTAAATTTAATTATATAATAAAAATAGGCCAATTCTATTGACAAATATGTATCTCTATTTCTTTTTTAAAAATTCACTATGACTGAAATATTTCGTTTTTATATTATGATATTAATTTGATCAGATTGTAATCTGACGCCTGTCGGGTTAGTCAATAGGCGTAAGGAGTAGAGAAATCAGACCACACACATTGTGGTTACTGATCCTCGTACCTATACTTCAAATATATTCTTTATGACGTTACACTACATCGGCCACATATTATGCATGTATTTATCTAAATTAATTACAAATTTTGAGTGAGAGACTGATGAAAACTTTAATTTTAGCGGAGATAATGTATTCACTTTAGCCGAAAATTCGACTTAATTGGAACAAATATGGGATCCTGTACCAGAATTTATATACCCAGGTTTAGGATTATGACAAATTAATAAAAATGTCGTCCTGACTGATTCCGACCAAAGCGACCAATTTCACCGAGACTCGCTATGAACGCAGGCGATATAATAGTGCACAGATGTGAGCAAAACATAACTGCAATCTCTATTCATTTCATTCTCAAAGTCCGGCGGGACTACATCAATATAATCGGTAAGAGATCAGGCGAGGCAGATTAGGTAGGACCTACAGCTTTACGTGCTCTCCAAACACGAGGTTATAAAACCGCCTACTTTCCAATTTCGGTCAGTTACTGACATTTTCTTGACAAAAAAAAAAACCAATAACTATACTTAGTATGATCCAAGTACTCACTAGTCTAACGAGGCACTTAACATATTATACTTGCCATTAGAAGACTGATTCACTCTTTGCAATCGTAATAACTAATTATACTTGCATAAAATTATTTTCAAATTCATAAATTAAATAAGTTTTAAATATTGACTATAAGAACTCTATATTTCTCGAAGTTTCTAAACGTTAATAGCAAAAAATATATTTTATTTAACACAGAATGAGCTCAACATCAACTCATATAGTGAAGGATGCGGCTGCGGTCGCGACAGGAAACCGCAAACTATCCACCTAAATAACTCAGCTGTACCAGAACACTAGGCTTGCGTATATTTTTCTTTCTGACATGCTTATACCTCTTATGATATAAACATTATTGTCTTTATGAACAAAAAAACATAGCTTAATATTTTTTTTATAAAAGGTATAGTTTCCGTAATAAATGCGAAAGTGGTAAGTGCACAGGTGATACATACCTACCGTGGGTGTCATGTGATTTTAGTAGCAAATAAAAAAAATTCAAGTATATTTTATAACTAGCGGCTCACCCTCGCTTCGCTCGGGTGGTTCGCCTCTAGACAATAAAAACCAATCTATCCCTCGGGAACCGTACATTTTTTCGGGATAATAAGAAACCTACCTATTTGTTTTTCTGATATATGAACTAGGTATATTATTGTAAAATTTCATACAGAACGATGGATTAGCGTGATTTTTTGTGTGGAGATAGTTGAAAGACTGGAGAATGACATAGGCTACTTTTTACGGCGGGAGATTATCTCATTCCCACGGGAATACACGTTATAATATAACACAAAAAATTATGATTAGATTAACTTGAAAATTGGTATACAATACAATTAAATAAATACTTGTTTCAGCATTTCTCGAAATTCATCCCATAAGAGGGTAAAATAGGGAAAGTAAGTTTGTATGAAACCTATCTATAGCTTTTTTTTTTTAACGTTGGGAAATGCATTTACGCACGACGTGTGGGACTCACCGGCGTAATACAGCCAGTACTACCCACTAAAACCCAACAAAACCTTCCCCCGTATTAATGGGGCGTCGCAGGATCGCTTGCGCATTCAACTACGACGCCCCGACGGCAGGTCTGCCGAAGCAGACCACCACAACCATGGGGTTGCTCCACAGTCCACTCTGCTATCAGAGAAGTACCAGGAGCAACCCGCATGGTACACCGCCCCCCAAAGAGGGCCACCTCCCACCGAAGTGTGCAACCTCCCTGTGCGTTTCTTAGCTTCGCGCCCGGTTGGATTGCCGGGCACTACTGAGCCCCCCCACCACGACAAGGTGAACGCACGTTGGGGGGAAACCTATCTATACCTACCTTACCTTTAAAATCTATACATATAATAAAATTGTAACTAAGCCGAATCTGTACATTAAATATTTTTTGGAAAATCTTATTGAAATAAACATTATTATTAGGGAAGGCCGAAATTCGTTTTACATTCGGTTTAACCGAATTTCGGCAGTCTGAGCCGAACTTCGGCATTCGACCGAAATTTGGTTTGAATGCCGAACACGCGTTTTCTCAGACATAAGACTAATCTAGATCGATTTATCGCCCCCGAAACCCCTGTATACTAAATTACATGAAAATCATTGGAGCCGTTTCCGAGATTCAGATTACAATTAAAAAAAAAGTATCATTATTCGCCAATAGATGTCAGAAAGAGTCATTTTTTCAGTTTATGTTTAAGTGGCAACATCAGGACTACCCAAACGCCACCTTTTTATTATTTTTTTCCAATAAAAACAATAAGCTTATGTTTTAGTTGATTATCGATAAAGTTGATTATTGAAAACACGAATAAAACGGCATATTCTAAAAATACCTGGGCCACTGAGCGTCACTCGGAGTTGTTGGTGAAAGGTACAATTTTCTTTTAAAAAAAAAAAACATGAATAAATACAAAAAAAATAATACCTTTGTATCCGCCAGGGGTTTGAACCCGGAGTCCGGACCCTTATTCAATCTTGCGCCTTGGCCGCTTGACTATGTTGGTTATATCCGAGCTTGCGAAATTATCGAACATAATATTTTGCGTGGAATAATGCAAAAGAAAACCGCATGAAAATTCGAAAACACGCGTTTTCCCAGACATAAGACTAATCTAGATCGATTTATCGCCCTCGAAACCCTTTATATACTAAATTTCATGAAAATCGTTGGGCCCGTTTCCGAGATTTAGATTATATATATATATATATATATATATATATATATATATATATATATATATATATATATATATATATACAAGAATTGCTCGTTTAAACATATTAGATATACGGATTTTCTACCGATTATTTGTAATCTGTGGAAAAATCGTAATAATCGTTGTGTGGCAACTGGCACATTAATAAGGGGGCGGTACCCGTTCATGAAGTACAATATTATTTGTATGAAATTTTTACGTAAACAACACGAAACTTCAGGGGCGTGAGCTGTCAAAAAACTATTAATAAAATGAACAAACTATATATGTATAATGTCAATACCATAAATTATCGGGGGTAAAAAATCAAGTAAATTTAAAACCGATATAATTCCCTATGTGAAAAGAAAACGATAGGTACATCGATTGTTCCGGTCATCACTATCATTGTTTTGCCCCTCCATAGACTAAATAAAACGTCAGTATGACAGATGTAAGTAGAAACTCTGTTGCTACAAAGTACAATTTAAAATTTTATCAAATAACCGCACTGCCGCAGTAATACGGCACTCCTAGAAGCCACTGAACATAAAAATTCAATTGAGTAATTTTGTCAATTTACTGAACGTAATTGTAAAGTAAATCGTGCTCATCTGTTTCACTTTAAACCCCATCCTAATGGCTATGTAAAAATAAATTATAGTAAATATTCAATCTACAATAATAAGTACAATTTATCTTATACTAACACCCAGTTGCATTGATCATGGATTCTAGTAAATATGTAATACCAAAATTACCAACTACTCAGAATGTATTGGATGATATATCTGATCCCATTGTTCTACAATTAGATAAAGAGTTAAAAATAATAAAAATGGAAGATATATTGAATGATGCATATAGATGTTACTGTAACATTAATAAATTAAAAAAAGATATTCATCAACAGAATGATTTAAATGCAAAATTAGAAGATTTGAACAAAGAACTGGTCCATAACATTGAAAACATGAAGAAACAACAATAAAATTAAATCATTACTTTGGATTAAATATATATTTAAATAAAATAAATTATTTGAAAAAATTATTTTATTATACTGCCAAATTTTATTAAATCTTCCTCTGTTATCAATTCCAAATGATATAGCGCTACTAAAGCTGCACCTTGTTCAGCAAATTTTTTATTTTTTTCCCAAAATGTTGATGTATACTTCTTTCCATCAAATGCAAGTATTGAACAAAATAACTTTTCAATCTGATGAGTTTTATAAGTTGGCAGCTGGAGACCTTTTTTTCCAGCCCATGCATGAAGTTGAGCTTTAGGTAGATTAAGATCATTAAAATTTGCTCGAATAAAGCTTACCTGGAATGTATTAAATTTGATTAATATTTTATTTTAATAGGTTTAACAACAACTACAATCAAACATTTCGTTTACTATGTAACTATACCTTCATTTTAATAACATCTTCTAAATTAATATCCTCAACTCTTAATTTCTTATTTGGAGGTTCTAAATCATCAGGGCTAACTTGCCATCTTCCTTGTATGCCTTTCTTTTGATAGTCATTCTGTTTCTCTTGGCAATACTTTTCTAAATCCCATATAGCACTAAAGAAGTAAAAAAATATGACAAATCTAGAATATTTATTGAATGACATTATTTTATTTGTTAATATCAACACAATATTATAAAATAAATACCATATTTGTTCCAAAGTTTGACACTCTAAAAATTTTCTTCCTCTTGGAGTTTCTTGTAAATCCCGTAAAATATTTTGGATACAATATTTTGTATTTGAAGGTGAATTATCATAATCAACTGCAAGTTTGAGATAATCTTTGATTACTGTGTCCATGGGAAGTAGGCCATCTTTTCTAAATATTGAACAATTCCATTCAGCTGCTCTTGCAATCATAATACTCTTGCAACCAGTCACTTCTTTAAATTTTAAAATATCTGCATATTTTTCTATTTCCTTTGATCCTCCACTGAAAGAGAAATATTATGTTGAATACAACACTAATTACAACTAATATTAATAATTTAGGTACATAGTTTACACATATATTTTTTTTTTCATTTTATTTAGAACATATAATATAAAATGAATGCAGTGTCAAATATAATAATTAACTTACTTTGCTATAACAGGGATTGATATCCTATCTGCAATATAATGAATGATATCTGTGTGCACTGCATGCTGAGGTCTTTCATCACGGGTTCTGCCATGAATAGCTATAGCCTTTATACCAGTATTAACTAGTTTTTTAACAACATCATAGGTTTTTTCTGGTGTATCAAATATCCTAATCTTACAACTCACTGGTATTGATAAATTATCAACTAAGGTCTTCAATATGCAACAAGCCTTATCTGTATCTTGTAATAGTGCAACTCCCATTCCACCTTTAATGGAGAATTCTTTAGGACAGCCCATGTTGATATCAATTGCAGCTACATCATTTTCACTGAAGAAAAGAACAGAGCATTCAGATTTAATATAAAGATCCGTATCTTAGATGTTGATAATACTTACACTAGTTTAGCCACTTTTAATGCCCTTTCTGGGCAACAAGTACCAAGTTGTAAAACAACTTTGTCTTTTTCTTCAGCACATGTACGAAAAACTATTGTTCCATCTGTTTGATCAACGAAATCCACTGTATTAAGGATATCTAAAATAAAACAATTGATCCTAGTAAAAATTACTTTTAAAATATCTAACAACAAAGCTATGTTATAAAAAACATACCATTATACCTGCGTTTAGATCGTAAGAACTTCCAATCTATTAATTCTTCAGAATATACAATATCGGCACCATATCGAAGAGCTAGGAGTCGCATAGGCAAGGTTCCAATTCGAACCATAGGCGCTAGAATAACCTTATTTTCATAAGATATCATGATTTGAAAATATTTTAATTCTTAAAGTTAATAAAAATTTAGTTTACACAACAATTATTAAAATATATTAATAAAAAATACGGTAATGGACAAATAGACTTTTTTAATTAAATAGTGTCACAAGAAATGAATTATTATTCCTAAAACTAAACATATAAAATCATGAATAACATATAACATTTGACAAATATCAAATTAAGTTGAAACTTGAAAAGTTGAAAGTATAATGCTGTGTTACTGTCAAGTGTCAAGTTGTCAGCCCAAAATCCAAATTTCAAAATTGAGTAAAAATCACAGATAATAAATTACAAATGATATTTATTATCTTGTAATAGATATATTTATGGAGGATAGATATTAGGAGCACTATCTCTGTGTAAAAAAATGACCGCTGACAAGCATCAAATTGGTGGCACCACAGAAAACAAGTAGATGAATTTAAAATATAGCGCCAAAAGCCATAAGAGTAAGATAGTATTTTAAACAAGGAAAGAAAAAAATCCGCTTTGTTAAACAAACACCGATATAGAATATAATTATAAGTATTTAGTTATTATTTAATATTAAGTTTAAGATAATTTAATTATATTATATTAAAATATTAATTATGTCGGTGCCAGTCGATACAAAGCAAAGCACACCGACTTCGAAAATATTTGATTAGGTATGTATAGTAAATGAAAACTACCAATCAGTAATTTTTTACTTTTTAGTGATTTTGTTTGAAGTTGGTTTTTATTTTTTATTAAAAGTTTTTATATTTAAATGCTCTAAAAAAACAAAGGAGTATAACTTCTTGCGTGCGTAAATAAGTATACACACCTTTTTTCCCATAAATGTTTCTTGTGTTTTTTTATTAAGTTGACATAACTTTTTTTTTTGATGAACCGACTGAAATATAAAACAAATACTAAATGTTAAGTGAAGCTTTCCATAAAATACATTCGTGAAAACCGCATATAAATCGTTTAAGCCGTTTCTGAGATTAGCACGCACAAACGCACAGACAATAATTCTAAAAATCATTGTTTTGGGTTCTATCGTGTTAATAAAAACTCCCAATAATAGTTTTTCTCAAATATCTCCTATGTACAGACAGCGATCAGTTACAATTTATTATATATATAGATATGGGCATTGATTATTTTTCGTCACCTACTTTTGCCCCTTTCAAAACAATAACATGTCAAATACGAGCTCACAGGCCAGTACACCAACGTTAGACTAGATTCGATCATTTTCGTAAGTCGTTGGCGCGGCAGCGAATGGCTGTCGAGCGTGGAGCTCACAGGTCGTTTGCTGCTCTAGCGTGTTGTATGAATACAAGCTGACCGAGTGCGCAGCGCAAATTTTTTATAAGTTAACTCATATTGTAAAGTAATTCGTAATACTCGTAACCTGACTCAAACATAACTTTATCGACAACAGTAGATACGTAGACATACACGATCCATGGATACAGCTCTCCTTCCCAATTCTTCCTTCAGCTAGTTTAACTTCCAGCGCAAGTAAGATGCGAACACAATAGAAGCAAAAACTGGTACAAAAAAGATATCACAATAAATTGCTTAACCTCAGACTAATGTAAGTCCGTATTATGTTAATATTATAAATGTGAAAGTTTCTGAGTATGTATGGGTGTTTGTTACTCTTTCACGCCAGAACGGCTGAACGGATCTGGATGAAATTTGGCACAGACATAGATTATAATCTTGAATGACACATAGGCTATTTTTTATCGTTGTTTTTATATTGTTTTTTGTTCCCTAAAGATAAACCCGAGCGAAGCGATGGTGAGCCGCTAGTAGATCATACGTGTAACGCCCTCCTTGCTAGAAATCTTGCCCATTATTGTATTACTTTCTTATAATTTGGCAACTCTACTTTTTGCTAAATGTCATAAACAATCAAGACCAATATTATTCAATATGAACATTAAGTCATAACAATTAAATGTCAATTGCATATTGTCAAGTAACATAAAAACAAAAAAAAAGAAATCTGTTCTGGTTGTATATCATTTTTTATAATTCTATTACTTACACGGTTACTATAATGAAACCTACAGTGGCTGCAGATGAAATGTTTCCAGAAGGAGTTGGCCCTTACATGGATATGGAAGAAGTAGGTTATATTTTACTCTTTAATTTTTTTGCAGGGTTGTAGGTAGTTTTGTCAAAACCTTGTGCAAAAGAAATCATACCTATGATATCATAAAATCCAAAGAGAGAATCCAATCTTAGGGACACACTACGGACCAAGAATAGGTCAATGTAGTGCGTTTAAATAGAATCCGTAATAAAAACAAAATAAAGTCAAATATGACTTTGAAGGCTTCACATTTATAATAAATATCGAGCTAGAAAAAGAAATATTTATTCAATATTAATTTTACTATGAAATATGGTCACCTATTAATATCCTTCAAAGTACTTAAAAAATAGTATAATTTAAAAAAAGTTATAAAAATAGTGAAATATACTAAATGAAATAACAAGCTTACTGAACGTATGGCTGTGAATTAGTAGGCTCCGATTGAATGTCCCTGGTCGAGCCAAGTATGATTATTGGGTTTTTCTCTCTGTTATTCTCAGTAACAGCTTGGACTTGAAAAGACAGTTGTGTTACAACTCTGTGCCTTGCTGTTGCTTCTGATTACATACTAATTGTGTCAATATATTGCCCCATCACACTTTAAAAGTGAAATGAATAGATAATGCTATTGTTTCTGAATGTGCACACACATGTGCACTATATTATCTCTTTTGCACATGGCAGTCTCAATGAGTCTCAGTGAGATTATTTATTAAAACAACACAAACAATTATAAATATATTAAAACTATTGCCTAATATAGTGTAATGAAAAATTTATAGTACATAATATTGTATTTAAAATATGTAAATTATGTGTATCCTAAAAAATTAACAGTGAATGTGTAAATTATTTTTTATACATTTACATTTATCTGTATTTGTAGGCTGGTGGACCTTCCAATTTACTAATGGATTTAGCTGCTAATGAAAAAGCTGTACATGCAGACTTTTTTAATGGTTTGTATCTTATTAATGGTATAATTTCTTTGAAAATCATTTTCATGACAATTTTAATGAAGTTTTAGGCATATTAATATATTTTTTAATAACTCCTGGACTGGTAATAAAAAAGGCCATGTTTACATTCTGTTCTTTCTAACTACCCATTACATGTTTATTTATTTTTTAAATTGAGACATTCTTGAGTAGACCAAACATATTCTGTTAAGGTAAATGGTGTAAAGTTATACCTATTCATATTTCGTGATTATATTGCAATTTTTTAACTGTTTTTTTTATTTGTTTCAGATTTTGAAGACTTATTTGATGATGATGATCTAAAATAGATTAGGATTTTGTGAAATAATTTGTAGCTTAATGTAATAAATATTTTTTTATTAATTATTAATGTAACTTTATTTCATAATTCAATTTTCACTCACTCAAGCTATTTTCGTCATTTTATTCCCATAAATAATTTTCTATTCATTGTCGTTTAGATATAACAAATGGCATTTTGCTGCTTGCACTAGATACAGCTGCTAGAATGGGGATTATTTTAAAAGACCTATTTATAATATCATTACAGGCTTCATTTTCTTCTGTGTGGTCCATCCTTATTTCATCTTTAGTATCTACATATGTATGTATCTTATGATGATGAATAAATTCTATTCTATAAAGATCAATATTATACTACAAATAGTTGAGGGCTATAGTGATCGCAACACCTGGCGGGAGAAAAAGGCAAAATTCTTCCCCATTTGAATAATTTACGTTTAACGTACGTCAAAATATATTTAAATATTACGTAATTATTATTTTTTAAACATAAAAACGGTTTTTGTATGGAACCGTTAAAGTAACCATTTATGTAACAAACGAAAAAATCATATCTTATACACATAAATGGTATCTATGAGTGAAGGAATCGGTAATTTTACTGATTGTAATAAATAAATATACTGTTTAGTAAAACTCAGAATTTTTGATTTAAAAACGACTAATTTGGAATCGGAAAAAGCAACTCAAAAAGATCAAAATCACCATCTACGCAACGCACTGTAATTTTTTTAAAGTTTAATAACATCAATAAATATAATATCTATATAGGTATATTACGCCATTTACTGATATTTATTTAAACATTTTTTTTATTTACTATGAGTAAATAGTAATTGTATTTCATAGTTTATGAAATTGTGCATTGGATCTCCTGAGGAACAAAGAGAAATTATTTCAAACTTGTTTACCCTCGCTTCGCTCGGGTGCTTCCCTACTGCCTTGGATTTTGTATGCAATTTCATGGGTTTTAATTTTATTGCGCGGAACCATAACCTTTTTTCTTAAATAAAAATAGCCTAAATTACTCTGTATAACATCAAAATTGATCCAGCCGTTTCGGAGATTAGCCTGGACAAACAGACAGGCATTTTTTTATATAAGTACTGTATATATTTTTATATGTACCTATTTAGTACTTTTGTCTTCAATTTTAATTTATCTGTCTACATAAATGCCAATACTTAGATGGCTAAGAAACAAATCAAAGTTATTGAAGTTTATGTGAAATTATCAAAACATAAAAAAGAGATCACAAAACGGGTATATTAAGGTTAAAAAAAATCTCTAAATAAAGGAAAACTAAAGAATGCGCTCGTACATCAAAGCGTAATTTTACTCATTATTTGAATAATCAGCAATCAGGTGCGTTTGTAGTATATTATATTCTTTATCATGGACAATAATTGCTTGTCACTTAAATTTGTTCAATAAATATTTAAGTTGAATTTTGCAATATTTGTCATAATGTACTTTACATATTATAATTATAAAATAAAAATAGTTTTGAGCTTGCGGATGAACTACATCTATTATCTAACCAAGAAAACTAAAATAGCCCAAATTAGCTATCCAATTATATGGCACAATTTGTAGGTACTGATCTACACACTAGTATTGTAATATCATCTGTGCGATGGTGTGACGCTGTCAGACCATCTTGCTCCTACGCCACCGCTCTTGTGCGCGCGCGCGCGTTTATTACATACATGATACAGTATACACGCTCCATTCCAAAACACTATTAAAAATACATATTTTCTATTCTATTTAAATAAATTAATCATTTTCTTTATTTTACTCCATATTTCGTTACAGATTTTTATTAATTATGAATTCTTATATTAATATATGATGTTTAACATCTGCCGGGCGTCCTGGGACGGCCAACTATTAAAAAAAAGAAACATATTGCAAAGTTAAATTTTAGATTTCGGTTTTAAGTATAATCATGCTAATTTATCATACTTTTAGTGTAACAAATACTACATGGCATGTTCAAACGATTTATTTTTAGTAGTTGGAAGGCGACATAGCTGCAGACTATGACCAGATCATCTGGTTAGTTCAAACAATTTGTTGAATATTGTAAACAAGTGCGATGACTGCGTAAAAAATAGGCCAAATTAATCTAGCCTGTACAGTATACTCCATAGATATTCCATTGTTGGTTTTGTGGCTAACATGTACATCTGCAGATCCGAAGGTTTGAGGACGTTAGATATGGCTGATTTAGTTTTTCACCAAGCTTTTATCAGACTATAATATAACTACATATCTATACATATAATAAAAACGTAACTAAGCCGAATCTGTACATTGAATATTACTTGGAAGATCTTATTAGACGACATGTTTGGCTCAGTGTGTAGTGCCTACTGCTATGCTAGCGGTTGCGGGTTCGAATCCCGCTGGGGGCATTCATTTGTGATGAGCATGAACGTTTGTACTCCAGTCATGGGTGTTTATATTTATAATATGTATGTATTTAAAGTTATATATATATGTAGTGTATAAAATATCTGGTATCCATAACACAAGCTTCGTAGCTTACCATGGAAATAGATGGTGCTGTTTGTTAATGTCCCAACATATTTATTTATTATCATTGTAATACACTTACTATCAATACAGAAGCCGAATCTATAGTTTTTAGAATTTTTGTCTGTCTGTTACCGCATCACGGAAAGCCCACTGGAGGGATTTCGATGAAATTTGGTATGATGATAGCTGGTTATCCGGGTCAACATATAGGATACTTTTTACCGCGGAAAAATATCATATTTTTGAGAAAGAATATAAAAACTGTAATGTAAGAGTATACCAATATGTAAGACCTAAGAATTTGGTTTTCGGTCATCTGAACGCGGGCGGAGCCGCGGGTAATGCTAGTAATAAATATTTTTCATACAATCCATGCATAAAAAATAGTATAGTCTAGCTAGTGCATGCTATACTACCAATCTGTGGGATTCTTTCTTACAATAATAAACCAAACTCTACCAGTTAGTTATTAAAATCTATTTTATTTTTATCTTTTACACAATTCCAAATCTGAACATAAATTATAGATTTGCTTAATTGGACACAACTTAATAATTTAGAGATTATCTCAATTTCTTGTGCAAGTCTTCTTTTTCAATGTAATGAAATATTAGTAGTTACACATGAGATCAAGTTTTACATGAAAATACATATAAAAATTAATATTCATACTGCTATAATTATGCTTTGCAATTGAATGATTCCGTTAGCTGATACAAAATTAAAGGTATGGATAGAATGTACAAAATCAAACTCCAACAATAAAATATGTAGCAAATTAATATTGAATATAATTTACGCAATAATCCGTCTCATATTTGTGTCATCAGTAATGAATTTTAACTGAAATTTAATATTTTTACAAAGATTTATTTAACATACAAGAAAAAATACCTAACCCAAAGCTATCAAAATGTCTTTTAAAGCTTCTTGACTCAATTTAAGTTACTCATACACAATGACGTGAGATCCGAGTGTAGTGACATGAATGCGCTATACTATTCTGCTTTTTAAACATTTTATTAATTTCATAACAGTTTGTTTATATGTAATTTTTTTTCTTAAATATGAATAAGTTTGAAAGAGATAGAGATGTGAAAGAAGAAATATTTGATTGTTATCAGAAGTAAATAAATAATACATGTTACGTTTTTAAATACATATTCATACTTTAATATTATAAATGTGAAAGTGTTCGTTTGTTATCCTTCTTTCACGTCGAAACAGAGTGACGGATTGGCGTGATTTTTTTGTGTGGAGATAGTTGGAGGGCTGGAGTGACATAGGCTACTTTTTTACCCCAGGAGATTATCTCATTCCCATGGGAAAACATGTTTTAATACAAACCATAACATTCCATACTAAACGTTAAAACGTAACTAAGGATAATAATAATATAAATAATAATAATAATTTAAATAGATATTATTGAAATGAAAAAAAGACATGTAACTATTAATGACGAAACGATGATTAAATAATTTCTATTCGATGTTATCATATTTGGGCTAAGTTTGAATTATAATAATATAATATAAACAACTAGCGACTCGCCCTCCCTTCGCTCGGGTTCGTCCCTAGGTTGATTCCGCGCACAAACTTTCATCCCCATTTTCACCCCCTTAAGGTATAATTTCCGGGATAAAAAGTATCCTATGTCCTTCCCAGGGTCTCAAACTATCTTCTTACCAAATTTTATCTAAATCGTTCAGTAGATCCAGAATTACCCCCTACAACGTCACAAGCTCACAAAATCACAAACTTTACCTCTTTATAATATTAGTATAGATTACCAATAAAACATATGTAGAACACATTATTACATATACTATAATAAAAATTGAATTAGTTTCCCAGTAATAGTATTAAATGAATAGCTAAGCCATAAGTGCGACGTTAAAGAGGATGGTGAATCACTAAGATCAGTCTCATATAATTATGTATGCACAGATAAAATACATAAAAATAGTTCATTTCTTGTTTAACGTATTTTTTTTATTCACTCTAGTTGTATTTAACCTTCAGTGCCTAATCATTCTGGAATGCCACCAGTTCATGACTCCTTGGACATAAACTTAATTCAAAAATACTACCAAAACAGAATAATGAATCACTGATATGTGTATTGTAAAAATATACATTTTTTTTTATAAACTGCAAAAAACATTACCAATGACACATAACATTAAATATATACAAAGGAAAATATAGTTTCCTTTAGAAATTTTGCCAACAATCCATAATAATCAAAAAATAACAGCATACTCTTAAAATGTAAGATCTAGTTCACACGGAAAAGCACCACAAAATAAAAATATTACTAAATTATCTATACAGATATAGTCCAGTCATATTAGGGGTTTCACCTCGGAATGAGATATAATAAGCTGTAAACTCGTATATATATACCTTTATTTTGGTATACTTAATGTTGTCTCAAAAGTCTCATGAAATCTCGTGTCTGCGTCGTAAGTTATTCAAGGTCGAAGGTTACAAAAATCAGTTTTTCACGACTGTCTCGGTTTCTATAATTCCAATGATGTTAACATTTATTATAAAAATTGTAGACCATAAAATTTGCCACAAATTTTGTTTTAAAATTTTTTTCATAGGCTCAACCGTTTCTGAGATAGAGAGCAGAGAGCCCGGAGCGCTCTATTATCTCTCATTCTGAGGTTGACCCCTTATTTTTGCTTAAGTGACTGCACTAATAATATAATTACTAGTAAAACAAATTGAACAATCAGTGTCATACAAAAAGGATCGAGTCTTAGTAATAATAAAAACTATAGGCATCACACTGCAAAGAACAAAGTGTGGTGTATTTCCGCGTGAATCAGCTGTAATGCCTAATATACGGTACAAATATAATAGTGTTAGAAAAAATAACATGGCGAGATGTTACACGTCTACGTCGCTGCTGTCTTCGCTGTACTCGTTCGCCTCCGCCTCCTGCTCGTCCGCCTCCGCCTCGCCCTCCAGCGTGTCCTCGTCGCCGACGTCGTCCATATCTTCCTCATCGAGAATATCTGATAGAGTATTGTTTACTCCTCTACCCATTTCTGTGAATAGTTAAAGCAAATATATTATCATTTATGCCGTACCATTATTTATTATATTCTTTATTCAACTTAAAATGTGATACAGAAAAAAAAACAACAATAAACGTAGTTCACAATGTGAATAAACAAAAACAAAGTGAATATTCTGTGAATATTTCAGCGGTTCACTTCCGCTGACAATGATTTTTTATAATAGTTATCACCTGATTCTCTATCGAGGATTGGTTCCTGAAAAAGGAACTCCTAACAGCTGACTGTACAGACACGAAATACGGTCTCAAGTCTACCATGACTTAGCTGCTGTTGCATCAAACACTCATTAACGTCCGGCAATACGGCCGGGTGTGAAACCAAGAAACACACCGGAAGGCGGCCCACCTCGGTATACGATATATGGCACACCGCCCGGCGTGCCGTGCGGGTTGCTCCTTGTACTTCTCTGCCAGCAGAGTAGACTAGGAGTAACCCCTTGGTCGTGTGCCTGCCGTCGGGGCCGAGTAGTTGAATGCGTAAGCGATCCTGCCACACCCCATTAAAACGGGGGAGGTTTTGTTGGGTTTTAGTGGGTAGCACTGGTTTCTCTAGCCGGTGAGTCCAACATAACCACCTGTATGCATGCAGGTGGTATGTGTAAATGCATTTCTTAACATTAAAAAAAAGATCACGGTCCGAGTAATAAATTTCATCAAATTCTACCAATCGGAGTAACGAAAATACACGCGCATACAAACTTTCGCATATACAACGTCAGATAAACACAAATGTACTTACGTTCTACATAGCTTTCTAATGACTTTGGTACCATACTTTTTACTTTTTCAATATCTTCTTCTGTACATTCTCCTTTTTCTAAACCTATAACAAAAATATTTTTGATTAGTGGAAGAATTACAATATAATATTGTTACATAAACTCAACTTCCCAATCTATACTTACCAAACAAGAGGCCCATTCTCTTTAATATGACTATGTCATCATGAATTTGAAACCGTTTATTAAAATTGAACATATATTCTGTCCTGAAATTGATAATAATAAATATTTAAACAAAAATTACCGTAAATATGTAGACGTATTTACGGTCGTAATGAAAGTACCTATATTATATAGACGCGCATTGAGCATGCAGGAGGATAGCAGTTTATATTTTTTATAAGCAATTTTCATTATACCAGATGTCTGGACCAACTGTGTGCAGCCTTAACCTAATTATCCCAAGTACTAAAGGAGAATGATTTTTTTTAACAATGCCATATTTATCTATTCTTTCTGTGACAGTGAATGTGAAATAATTCATAGGAACATTAGATATAAAAAACTGCTACAACTCATATTGATAGATATCTCATAATTAAGATGAAAAAATAATACTCACTTATCATTAGAGATGCTACAGTCAATTAATGCTTTGTCACTTGTGTTTACAACAATAAATGGTAAATGTATGGCTGACGATGGTGAAGGTTTTGTACCTTTGCTTTCTGCTTCCTTATTCCTTTCTATTAAACTTTTAAATGAAATGTGCTGTAAAAAAGTTTATAACTGTAAAATCAAATTTCAGGTTATCATACTAGAATTAATTTTGTTTATTGTTTAGTGATTGTAAGATTAATTTTTCATTTGGTAATGTTACTTTTTGGTTATTTTTATAATTAACAAATTTAAGAATTATGAGACTTCATTAAACTATTATGATAAAACTTAAATGATATATTTTTAAGAATATTATCCTATATTTATGTTTCATAAATAATTTTAACGTGTAATCTATACATATAATAAAATTCTGAGTCGAATCTGTACTTTAAATAACTTTTGGAAAACCCTATTGAAATAGACATTATTATTTATTATCGATACAGAGGCCAAATCTATAGTTTTTAGAATTTTTGTCTGTTACCACATTACGAAAAAATCACTGGACAGATTTTGATGAAATTTGGTATAAGCTGGTAATCCATCCGCGTCAACATGTAGGATACTTTTTACTATGGGAAAAAATCTCATCTCTGAGAAATCTATACTAAACCTTAAAACGCAAGTAAGTGGACCAAGGGTGATTCGCTAGTTGTAATTAAATCAAAACTTTACACAACATCAACATATTATGTATGTTCAAAAAATATCTCATCAAGCTTATATAAAATATATGAAGGTTTTATGATAGTTTAGTATTAAAAATAAATAACTCACTTGTAATATTAGTTCTTGTAGTTGTTGTGTTTTCTTTTGTATTTGTTCTAACTTAGATTGTTTTTCTTTTTCTAATGCTGTACATTCTTGAACTGAATTTGTGGGAAGCCCTAACCATCTGATCTCCTTTTTTTCTTTTGATATAATGTTCATTGCCATTAATACATTTAAGGCATCATATACTCTTCTTCTTATATTCTTTTGGTCATATTGCTGTAAAGGTAAGATTTTCTGAGTTACATTTTAACTAGGCATTGCTTCCAATTGTTCATATCTCAAGTATATGTATGCATCAATAACTTGGAAGGTACATACATATTAGTTATGTTAATCTTTACATAGTATAAAATGAAGTCGCTTCTGCTGTCTGTTTGCTTAGATCTTTTAAACTACTCAACAGATTTTAATGCAGTTTTCAGCAATAAATAGAATGATCCAAGAGGAAGGTTTATATATATCATACATGCATATTGTAGTAAAGAAAAGCCGAGAAATTAAAAGATTTGTATTTCATACTAACCGTTAAAACGTACCGTTAGTCATATAAAATATAAAAAAAATATGCAAATATAGAACAAATATAATAACAAATCTAAACTAAATATTAGTAAAGAAAGGAATAGAATAAAGAGAAAAGATTTCATTTTTGGTACGAGTAAGTTTGTATCTAATAAAAATCAAAAACTATTTAACCGATTTTAAAAATTCTTTGTCCTGTAGAAAGCTACATTATAAGCGAGTAGCATTTTATTTTCCAACAAAATTAGATATACCTACGAAAATTTCAATAATGTATCAACAATTTGTCTGTAAGTCATTATTTGGCGTGCGCTGCGAAAACTACTACTACATACATATTTACTATTATCGATGATACATAAAACAATGTAATACATGTTTATATTACTCATCATTCCCCACAAAAAAGTTCGTGAGGCTATATTTTAAGTCACAATAACCGCTTTTTTTTAATTTACGCTATTAAAACTATAGGGTAGAATGGAAAGATGATTACATTCGTATCATGATCTTTATCCAATTAAATAGTTTCATAATCGAGGTTGATTATGTACATACATGTAAATTTCTCTTTAAATTATACGAATCCGACCTTTCGTTTAAAATTTAGATTTATTACGTAAAAGGTTTCGTTTAGAATTTAGATTTGTTACGTTAAACCTAGACACGCACCCAAGCGAAGCGAGGGTGTCTCTAGTTAGTATATGAAATTTATAACATCTATAAATATAATAAAATTCTATCTGATCGCTGTCTGTACATAGAAGATATTTTAGAAAAAATATTATTGGGGGTCCTTATTAACGCAATAGAACCCAAAAATAATGATTTTTAGAATTTTTGTCTGTTTGTGCGTTTGAGCGCGCTATTCTCAGAAACCACTCGACCGATCTTGATGCGGTTTGCATTAATATTTTGTAGAAAGCTTTACTTAACATTTAGTATTTGTTTAATTTCAATCGATTCATAAAAAAAAATATCATTTTAAAGAATTTAGAGAAGAACCCGAGCGAAGCGAAGGTGAGTCGCTAATATATACATATATATATATATATATATATATATATATATATATATATATATATATATATATTTCACTAGTAATATATAATTAGTAAGGGTGATCGCGTAGCATTTTGAATACACACAAGTAATAATAATCATTGTGTTCCTCCTTAACATTCCAATGTGTTGCAGTACTTGGTTGCTAAGGGTCAGAGCTGGAGCTCTGAGAGTTGGGGTGACAGCGTGTAAATGTTTTTGATATAATACCATACCAAAAATCGTGTAAAATATATCAAATTGATTTCGTATAAAATCCCTATGAAAACTATTATGCTGCCATTCATGCTATACATAAATTGGACTGCTATTATAAATGCGATAGTTTTCAACTTGACGAATTTGATTCTTACAATAGATACAAATTATGACTTGCAGTAACTCATCGGCTATTATTAGGCACATAGGGAGTAGGAACGCAACGATGCTAAACCAGGGCGATTCGTAAGTACGTATGTATAACATATTGCAGAGTATAATATGTAAAAATATTGTCGTGAAATAATGATGACTCTTTAAAAATACACTAGAGGTACACAGATAATTTGAGAAAAATGTAGGATTTTTTTAATACCGAATCATAAAAAAATGTTTTTTGAAAAATAGTTTACATCTTATTCTCAGACCTACTGATATCTATACATATAATAAAATTCTAACTAAGCCCAATCTGTACATTAAATATTTTTTGGAAAATCTTATTGTAATAGACATTATTATCGATACAGAGACCGAATTTATAGTTTTTAGAATTTTTGGTCTGTCTGTCTGTTACCGCATCACGGAAAACCCACTGGAGGGATTTTGATGAAATTTGGTATGATGGTAGCTGGTTATCTGGGTCAACAAAAGGATACTTTATGCTGTGGGAAAATATCTCATTTCTGAGAAAAAAAAACAATAACTGCAATGTAAGAGTATACAAATATGTAAAACCTAAGAATTTGGTTTTTGGTCATCTGAACGCGGGCGGAGCCGCGGGCAATGCTAGTACATCATAAGAATCGGTGTCGCCGTTTCGGAGGAGTTTTGTTACACACACTGACACGAGAATTTTATATATTAGATAACTGATTGCTTGTTGAGCTTTACTAACTAGATACTCATTCAGTACTCAGTATTTTGAGTTTAATAAACAATAGGGAATATGCGTGTGATTTAAATAAAGTTTATTTTTTTGTAATATTTATTTATTTTGAATCCCATATTAATATTTTTAATGTAGTTTCTTTATGATTATGAAAATAATTATTAAAAAATGCAAATACAGGTGGGAAATTCTAAGTAGTTAAACGCAACGACATTGGTCAGACCAAATATGACGTCAAAGTTTATAATAACAGAGCCAGTGTTGCCAATGTAACAATTTTGTCGCTAAAAATTTCCTTAGCAAGTCATTTTTAGCGACAAAATCTCTTGACGCCATGCCAAGCGCGTGAAATGGCGGGTATTTAAAGTATCTGTATTGTTATACTTTAAAAAAATATTTACATACGAAATTTTAGTTTCTTGGAGATGGATATTTTTTTTTACAATTATATACCGATGTAAGCTATTGTATAAAAAATCACGCATGTTCATAATTGAAACTGCCCCGTGTAAAAGTTGTTACTAAGTATTTCTGTTATATAAATAGGAAACAAACTTTCTTAAAATAAATGATATTTAAATAAGTGCGTTTAGGATCTAAAAAAGAATGAGTAAATAAAAATGATATGCACTTATACATAGGGCATACGTACTTGGCTGTCTGCAGACCCGTGCATCCCAGCAGCAAATTCTAAAACTAATTCATCTGCTACCTCATTGTATGAGGTAAAACCTTTATTCCTTACTTTCTCACATACTTTCATTGAAAAATGTCTTAAGCCTTTGCCGACTTTGTCTGCATGTTTACGACGTTTTGTAGTGCTGTAACAAATTTGAAGAAAATATAATTACCATTGTTTCAAGCTTTACACTGTACTGTATAGACACATAGATGCGTGCGTGTATCGAACTTTTCATATACTTTAAAATATGAGGAAATGCGTTTATTATATTTTACCGGCTGTAGAATTGACCTCATGAAATTTTGGCAACCTGAGTTCAAATGTGAGTAAAAGTTCGCAAGTGGATACAGTGAGCTGTGTCGAAACTCGAATCGAGTTACAAGCGACCTACATAACAGTAGTAATGATAACAAACGTACAAAACGAACAAGAGGGTAGACAGATATGTCTGCCAATAAAGTTTGACCCGCGTGTAACAGTGCCGAAATACCGGGAACTTTCAAGTGATAAACATGAAAAATATCCCGTTTTTTATCACAATAGCATTCTCAATACCTGATTTAAAAATTTCCTAAATTTATGGATTTAGACACAAAGGCTATAACTATGAGTTTAAAACATAAATACAGATCAAAGCTAAGTAGGTAATAGACATAACATCGCATCCACACGCTTGACATTTGCCACAAATTTCTTCTACAAACGCTTAGCTTTTGTAACACTTGCGTATCTCGGAGAAGCAAACACGATTGGACGTCGAGTTTATATCGGCTGTTAATTTCGGTTTATCTTATTTCTATTATAAAAAGAAACAGTGTGAAAATAAAGGAAACGGAAAAGTGAACATAATAACATATAACATGTGTTTAAAATTCATAGAAACCAAATATAGTACAAAAATTAAAAAATAAATAAATTTATTAACAACAAACGTGCGGGGGCATTTATAAGTGCTTTCCGCAAATGTCCTTTGATTAGTGCACAAAAGCAGACACTCGACCGAAATGGCCACAATTTCTGGCAAACCTACAAACAAGCAAAGCCTGTACATACGATTTAAAAAAAGAGATTTATTAAACAAAACTTATATACCTACTATAGATGATAAAAATAATAAATACTAAAAACTAACTAACCAATTCGAGTGGAGCCACAGACAATTACTATATTAATTCTAATGAGCGATAAATTTTTATCGATAAAATAAACGTTATTAAAGACATATCGGCAACTATATGATTAAAAAAATGTTGTAATCTATACTAATATTATAAATGTGAAAGTGTGTTCGTTTGTTTATCCTTCTTTCACGTCGAAACGGAGTGATGGAATGGTGTGATTTTTTGTGTGGAGATACTTGGAGGGTTAGAGTGACATAGGCTACTTTTTACCATGGGAGATTATCTAATTCCCATGGGAAAACACGTTATAATACAATTCAAAAAAATATTTATGATCAGAATTACTTGAAACTTGGTAGGTATTAATAATCTTCAATAAATTTAAATAAATACGTTTTAGAAATTTTTGAAAATCATCCTATATTCCTTATAGGGGATGAAAGTTTGTATGAAACTAAATTTTTAAAGTTTTTTTTTGTTATTTTAGCCGAGCCAAGCCGCGGGTTCAGCTACTGATTTTATAAATATAAAAGGTTGTATTAAATATGGAAAGTCTAGCTTATAGGAAACGATTGACCCTCTTCCACTGCATCGCACTAAATCTGCACATGATGTCTGTAATTTTAAATTTTTGCGAAATCCGTCTGAATCTGTATTTTTTTGTTGTTTACAATTATTATATAGGGCAAACAAAACTAAATCTCAACCATACGAAATACCAGTGTTTTTACACAGACTGAGGGATCGATGACTCCAGAATATGATGAAGTTTCCCAAGCGTAATCTTCGGTTCAGTCTCTATCTCATAGTATGTGCCAGAGTTGTCCACTTCACCAAGTCGCCACTCGCGACTAGTTTCATACAAGGAAGAACCATCGCCGTGCATTTGATCTTGTAAAGAGTCACTTCGGAGTGAACCTTCACCTAGACCTTAAGAATCGCTTAGGCTGTTTAGTATCCCTTCCAAAGCCTGCAGTCTTTGTTTTGACGACTACGTCTTGGCAAATTGTAGGTGTTTTATATTGGCCTGCCTTTTGTTGTTTTATATTGGTTTATGCCTCGTCCGTTCCAATTAGGCGTCTTGAAGACATCCACCAATGTACAGGTGACCAGTTTTGAAAAAATGATATTATCGTCCTACTTCGCAACGAATTTAGATTGGCCTTGTACTTGGACAGTCAACTTTGGGACTTGGTACAGACACCTCAATATTTAGAAATATCATCAATAGTCTACAAGGCATATCTGCATGGATTCTAAAACAGACTAGATCGAAAGCTTTGTTGAAGTAAGCAAACGTAAGCAAACGCAAGCAAAGCTGATTATAGATATTTCCTGTCTTTTGAATTATTTGCTTAAGTGTGTGTTAGTGTATGTGGTCTACAGTACTGAAGTTTTTTCGAAGAATGCTCAAGGATTTTGAAATAATTCATGTTTTGGGCAAAATATTTTATAACAAACATTTATTTATAAAAATGGCTAGTGCAACATAGTTTGGTAGTTCTTAGGCCTTGGGACTTAGGTGGCAGTAGTAGAATTTGTATAGTTTTCCACAGAATTTTTCGGCTTCAGCGAGAATCTCTGGTTTCAAGGTCACAGTGGTGCCTTATGCAGTGCTAAGTTTCAATTCATTTTTCTTGGTAATGGTGTTAATTCAAAGCGTGCCAGTTGAGCACAGATTACTTCACCAATGTCATGTAGAATGGAAAAGACATGAGGTGGACTGGTAGGTTGAAGTTGTGTCAGATAAAAACAGGTATAAAAATTGGCATGTTTTCAAACCCTAATTGGATGTCAAAGCTTTTTTTAATGTTTTGCATTTCTGTTAGTCTTATAAGATTTTTTTTACCTTTATATTAAGTATCGACTTTCATATAAAAGTTATGTATAAGTAATAAACATAAATATATACATAAATATAAATGTTCAAGTATACTTACTATTCTGCTGGTGGGTCATTATCTGAATCATGTCTTCTTCTTGATGCATGTGACATTGTTGGTGATAGATTAGAATTCTCTATAGGAATATCTTCAGGCTCTGTTTTTGTGATGATTGAGAGATGTGTTTTGTTATCACTACTTATAGGTTCTGATTTCGCTAAAATGGGCACAAGTTCAGGTAATGTTTGTAGGACATTCAGTTCTTTCAGTTGATTTTCAGTTTTAACCTGTAAAGATAACACATTTAATAAAAGTTAAAGTAAATATGTATTTAAATGAGTTAGATGAGAGTTATTACTACTATCAAACTATTCTTCTTTCTTGTATTATATAAAATCAATAATGAAATATTTTTATGAATCATAATAATAAATAGACATAATTTATATTTCTTTATATTTAAAAACTCACACAATTTGATGTTGGTAAATCTGGCTCAATCTTAGGGGTACTCTTTTGTAAACGAGCCAATGTATCAACAGGTACTTGAACTAATTCTGAAATAAGTTAACATGACTGTAAATACATTGCACTTAAATAATTTAGTTATTTGAGTTTTCTTTGAGTTTTCTACCTATTACTAAATTATTGTTTTCAATGAGTGTTCAATGACATTCCTATTTTTATATTACTTGTGATTAGCCATTCTTGCTTTGCTCAGGCATGTCCTTAATACAATTTTGACAACAGATAAATATCAAATTGGAATCAATTGAAGCATTGAGATAAATTATCCTAAGTTTATGGGCTGAAGACTGAACTTTTACACTAAAAAAATATGTTGACCCATTGCTCTGTTGCTTATTGAAAAGATATGCTAACAATCACTTTCCCATGTAACAGATGAATATTCGACCAACCACTTAGAAACAAACTGTTGTAATAAAACCTATATTACTCACTGCCCTATAAACTATTTCTTTGCACATTGTTTTGGCATCAAAAAAGGGCAAATTAAGGAATGCTCTTTCACAAAAGCCATTAATAAAAATGTTGAGAAAGGAATTTTGAAATCTAAGAAAACTCATGAATTGCCTGCTTATTTTTTACTAAAAATATAACTAACAAAAATGTGCAGCATTGCAAAAAATTAAGTGCATAAGCCCAACAATCACTGAGTTGCTTTAAGACAACATTACATTTAAACACCTTTAGCTTTAGCAATTTCACTTACTTGAGGCACACTTAATTCCTGTTAATTTAATAGGTTGGTACACAGGTACCTGAAACAAGATTTTTTATAAGTATTTTTGAGCTTCTCTTGAGTAACTATTAGTTGATGATACTTAGACCACTAATAAAATCAATTTTCAACTATTTTAGTATTTTAAGGGTAAAGGCCACTATTTATTTAAATGATTCTTCTCATAAAAGTAACAAACCAAGATTAATATAATAGTATGATATCGTAATGTTTATGTAACCAAATACATACCTGATTACGCCCCTCGTTCAAGGATGATACTTTAAACACCTTCAAAGGATTTTGTTTAATTTTAATTTGAGCAAGAGGTTGGGTATTCGTATTTTGTACTACTTTGACCATTTGAGGCTGTCCTAAAACAAAGATTTCGTAGTAATATACACCAATGATAAAAGAAAACTGACGAGCATATTTATAGAAATAAGCAAATACAATAAATTTATAAAAACAAGTTTCGATTACAGATCCGGAACGACACGACGCCTATTATTTTAAAGATATCGTTTATGTCTTATTTAAGCTATTCATTAAAAGGTATTTGCCGTAGTGGGGCTATAATAAATTGAAGATTAAAAAGAGAAATGAAAAATCAAAATAAAAAAACTAAATCGACGATAATAGCGTCGCTACTTACTAACCATTGGCGTCATGTATAAGGAAATTTACTATACTAGTATTCTGGGACATTGTCGTAGTCCTCCTTGAAATAGGGCATCCATTTACGGTTTTCGCTAAGATATGTCTAGGAAATTAACAAATGGAAATAAACTATTTCAATATTAAATAGCATGGTCAAAATGGCGACAATATTTAGGATAAGTTTTGAAGGTCAGAAATCGTGATAGTCAACGGTCTAAAAAATGAACCACCTATAGTCATTTAGCTTCTGCCACTATCACACATAATATATACACTATAATACAATGATTAGTTAAAACTACAAATAACAAAACAAGCACGCAAAGAAAACATTGACAATTTAGCGCCGGCCTCTCAAATTACCAGCTGATTGGATGACGCTGTTCACGTGTACTCAAAACCAGAAACCCCCGCCGGATTTATTTCCGGAAAAGGCGCGAAACGGACAGTGACATCTGCTGAAGGCCAAATAAAATTTTGAAATACAGATTATAAAATAATAAACCATAAATTGGGGTTATTTTTATTTCAGTATGTAGACTAAGGTGCTAGTAGACGATCAGAATTTCAACATCATTTTTAAAATTTTAAAAAAAAATTATACTTTTCTCTTAAACTATATAATAAATAAAACTATGCAATTATACAATTAAACCTTAAACACAATATGATCAACGTTTTATGTGATTTTATGGAATTAATAAAATTTTAAGCAAGTGAAATGTAATACGAAATCAAAAGAAAGGCATATATCCCTAGGTATATATGTTTCATCAGTATGTTGTAAATGTAAAGGACACTCTTTATCCTATTTTAAATAATGTACTTCCTGCCTTATATAGTACATTCACTACATTAAAGTATTTGTTTTGAAAAACCCAATCTGAGTATGAACAAAATTCAATTGTCTATTTACATCCTACATTGGTATTTAGAGGGGAATCAGTTTAACTGTTTCAGATATCGATAAAATTAACTTTTAGTTTTATTCTTGTTTTATTTTTATCACAAACTATATAGAGCTACTACCTACGCAGTAATCAGTCTGTGCTGGTAGCATGTCATCCAATATCCATGATTTTATATTTTGTCATCCATGTCCATGATGGTAACTGTCAATGTCAATATGAATAACAAGTTTTGTTTCTTTTAACATTTAAATAAAAAAATATATTAATTCAAAAAATACAAATTAAAAGTTCTTTAAATGTTTTCTTAATTAAAAAATATTCATCCCGTTAAAATGAAGATTTTTGTATGGATATTGTGTGTCTTGTTTATGTACTTTAGTAAAACAAATTCTACTAAATTGGAGGAGTTGAATATTCCTCCGGAACATATTCCTTATGTATTAAATTTATTTCCTAATTTAGCAGACTCCTGTGAGACTAGTCCAGATTGTGCATATAAATCTTTAATAGGTAGTAGAGATTGTTGGGGATATGAATCATCCTGTAATAAAAGCAATTCGTACCACGTTAGACCCAGATGCCCAGGTGATCATAGAGGTTGGGTAAAAACAAAAGAAGCTCAGTACGATACTTTTTATACCCAAGCAGATTTTGGTAATATTTAAGAAACATTATTACTAGTTATTACACATTTTTAAAATATGAAATAAGTTATGAGCTTTTCTTATTTTGTTTAAAGGTTATATCAAGGAGCAAATTCAAGAATTGATGGTAATGTGTGAAGCAACTTATCCTCATGACAGTTCCCTTGAATGTTCTAAATACTTAAGGTTGGTGTTAACATGCGCTATCTGAAATTTTAATATTTTTATCTACTTGATATCTTTTTAATAAGTTTTCATTGTGTTTCAGATTTTGTAGGGGTCGTAATATAATGGTTAATTTCACAAGTTTAGTTGGCAGAGGTGATAATCTCAGATATAAGACGGATATTCTAGGTCCTGGTCAATTAGGTAATTATATCTATACATATAATAAAATTGTAACTAAGCCGAATGTGTACATTAAATATTTTTTGGAAAATCTTATTGAAATAAACATTACTATCGACACAGAGGCCGAATCTATAGTTTTTAGAATTTTGGTCTGTCTGTTACCGCATCACAGAAAAACTACTGGAGGGATTTTGATGAAATTTGGTATGGTGATAGCTGGTTATCTGGGTCAACATAAAGGATACTTTTTACCATGGGAAAATATGTCATTTCTGAGATAAAATACAAAAACTGCAATGTAAGAGTATACTAATATGTAAAACCTAAGAATTTGGTTTTTGGACATCTGAATGCGGGCGGGGCCGCGGGCAATGCTAGTATATATATATTTAAATTGTTCATTGAAAGATATTTATAATATGTTTAAATTAATTGCAATATCCTTATTTTTTCAGGTGGATATTGCCAATTTTATAAAGAAAGGTTAATAAAAGAGGCAGAGCATATGAGTGCGTTGCAATCTTGGGCACCTGAATTTGTAAATTTTATTAGAACTTCAAAAAGGCCCATTGTAGATGGGATGTGTGATCTTGTTATAGAAAAGCCAACATATATAATGAAATTAGATGCAAGTAAGTTTTAACACAAGTCATGATTCATGAATTTTTGCTCCTGAAGTGGCAGTATTTTCTATACATATAATAAAATTCTAACTAAGCCGAATCTGTACATTAATTTTTTTTTTTGGAAAATCTAATTGAAATAGACATTATTATCGATACAGAGTCCAAATCTATAGTTTTTAGAAATTATGTCTGTCTGTTACCGCATCACGAGAAATCCACTGGACAGATTTTGATGAAATTTGGTATGGTGATAAGCTGGTTATCCGGGTCAACATATAGGATACTTTTTACCGCGGGAAAATATCTCATTTCTGAGAAAAAATACAAAAACTGCATTGTAAGAGTATACTGATATGTAAAACCTAAGAATTTGGTTTTTGGTCATCTGAACGCGGGCGGAGCCGCGGGCAATACTAGTTTAATATAATTGGTGATGAGGAGTATTTTTTATTTTCAATTTAGAAATTGTTGTTACCACCCACAATGGTGTATTTTAAATTGGATAAATGTTATTATTATTAAAGCTGAGTTTGATTTTATATTAATCTACATGATTTTAGTGACTTTTAGAGGACTTGGGTTAAATAAGTTTATATAACCTTTTTATTTACATGCTGAAAAGAGTGATGAAGGTATAAGAATTAGGTATTGGAATGTATATGAAGGATTAAAAGAATCAAAAGCACTGGGGAAGTTGTAGTAATGTTTGGGAACATAGTAACTTTAAGTTTTCATAACTTTTGTCTCCTCTGTATCCTCAATTATATTTCCTTATCTCAATCATAACATATCTTGATATATCTATTTTTCCTTATAAAATATAATCGGTACCTCCATGGGATGCATATTGCATACCAAATGCTTAATTTTTCCAGGATATTGAATGAGTTGAATATAATAATTGTCAATTGGTCTAATATTTTTTTTTTATTGCAGCAGTAAACATGTATCATCATTTTTGTGATTTTTTCAACTTATATGCAACATTACATATTAATTCTACACATCCATCAACATTTGGAAGAGACAATCATATTCTTATCTGGGAAACTTTTACATATCATTCAGCATTTAAAGATGCTTTTAAAGCATTTACAATAAATCCCATATGGGATCTGAAGGAATTCAGAGGAAAAGTTGTCTGTTTCAAAAATGTTGTATTTCCCCTTCTCCCACGAATGATATTTGGTTTATATTATAACACTCCATTGGTAAGTAAATAATTCATGTAGTGTACATTCTAAAAACAAACCAAGTGTTTAATAAATTAGCAACTAGTCTTCATTTAGGTACTTTACTTTGCAAGTCCATCAGCTTCATATAGTAACTAGTGAATTTGTTAATACATATATATATATATATATATATATGTATTAACAAATTCACTTATATATATGTATTAACAAATTCACATATATATATATATATATTATATATATATGTATTAACAAATTCACATATATATATATATATATATATATATATATTTGGGTATTTATTCATGTCCAGAAAAATTATAATTGATTCCGCATAGATATTGCTACTACATAACATTATATATTTTTCGATTTTGCTTTTATGTGCATAACATGTACATTTATAACATTTTTAAATTAAATATATTTGCTAATTGAACAGAAGAAAGACAGTGTACTTGTTGGAAAAACAATTCAATGTAACACACTGAACATTTTTTAAAGTCATATTTATGTTTTAGTATTTAAAATATGTGTGTTATTTTTATTTACAGATTTATGGTTGTGAAAGAAGTGGCTTATTCCATGCCTTTTCTAAGCACATGCTGCATTCATTAAATGTGAAATTGCATCTAAGGGCTAATGATAAAGTAAGAGTTACATTACTTTCAAGAGGAACTACATACCGTACCATACAAAATGAACAGGAAATTGTTGAGGCACTGTTGAAGAACAAAAAGTATCATGTACAAAGGGTTGTATATGATAGAACAGTGCCTTTTACCGAACAGTTGGAATTAACATACAATACTGATGTCTTTATTGGAATGCATGGAGCTGGCTTGACTCATTTGTTATTTTTACCAGACTGGGCAGCTGTTTTTGAAGTGTGAGTAAAATAAAATAATGATATCATTCTACTGTCATGCATAAACTACAGGCAGTTCATCAAATCATATTTTAAAAATTAAATTGAATGATTGCGCTCAGTATTGCTATGTTTAATTTTATACAGTTTAAATATAAGTATATTAATACTTACAATACCAATTATTATTTTTTAAAAACTTTAAATTTTTAAATAAATTATAAAAATAGCAACCCAAATTAATAATTTCAATCGTATTTGAAAATAGTTCAGTGTTTTACGACATACCTAATACTTCAAATTCAAATTTTCGCCAAAAAGCAATTCGAATATTTACATCATCTAATATTTTTTCCGATTATTTGGATAATCGTCATACTGAAATTGTCGCATCACTACCGTAAAGATAATGACGTAACATTGTAATAACGTCTACTTAATTTACAAGTTGAGATATTGCGTTTGCTTTTATTTAGTTTTAACAGATTCAACATTAGATTATGGTATGGGAATAATTACACGTAATGGTATTTATATAAATAATTTAATAAGTATATTTTTGTAAAAATTTATTATTCGAAATAATATATAGACGTTTGAACAAGTTTATCACGTAGTGAAGCATGCGAAACGTTAAAATGGAATTCTTAGATTTGATGGACTATAAGTGAGTTAGGGATGGAAAGTAAAAATTTTTTCGATATTTATCGTATCGACACTTATAAAACAGTATCGATATATCATCAGTTTTCGCATGATTATTCATACATATCCCCAAAGCATTCAAAATTCGTAAAAAAGAATAGACATGAAGAAAATAGTATTTTTTATTAATGCTCGAGCCTAAACAATTATATACAATTTAAACAAACCAGTAGTCATCAGATATGGACATTAGAAGCATTCTCTGTTTGATTTGCTCGCCTGTCAAGCGATCTATATCAATATTTTAATATATCGATATTTTTCGCCCAAGCCTAACGAGCATTTTCGACTTCGCAAGGGTGTTGTAATGCATGTGCAAATGCTCCTATGACATTCTACTATCGCCAGGATTAGGATAGGGTACCATTATGACTTTTAATGAGTAAGTCTCATAGTGCACTGCCTATTAACAGCAGGGGCAAGGGGGGGGGGGGGTATCCCACTGGCATCGTAAACAGGAGTAGTTTTAATTTGAAACATAGTTTTTCAGGTTTTACTAATTTAAAAAATGAAGTATGGAACAGCTTTTTAGTGTAGTTTTGTTATTTATATCAATAATAATTCTAAATGATGTCTCCAATTCAATTGATTTACATTTTACATTAATTTGAGTTATATCATTGGTCTAGTTTGGCTACCAGTAGTTGATTGCAAATCCTTAAATTTATTAGGTTTAGGTATTTTTTTAGTATTCTACTACAGAGTTTTGAACCAAGAATTTTATAACATTTAATATACTTACAGATATAATTGCGAAGATCCTAATTGCTATTCAGATTTAGCTAGACTTCGAGGTTTAAAGTATGTGACGTGGGAAGATAAAGCAAAGCTAGTACAACAAGATCAGGTAATTATTTCTCACTGTACTTATTATGTTTGACACTAAGATATACACTCGGCAACATATTTAATATTATTAACACCTCTAGGTAAATTTCTAAAAAAAATTATTAAAATTCTAACTGACACACCGTCGGGTCGGCGGTCGTGGAGGGATTAAAATATAATCTCCAAAATGTAGGGTTGTTATTGTGGATTTGATTGTTATTGTGGGCTCTCTTAAATCCGACAAACAAAAAGATCCATTAGAATTCGGGTCATAGAACACATAGCTCATGTGAAGCACCGTCGCAATACATCTGCAGCTGGAAACATAACCAGGATCGTCCGAGCCACTACATTCGCTATATAATCCACAAAAACAATAATATTGCTTAAATAAACAATTAATATTTTTAATTTTCTTTGTGGTTATATAATAGTAATAGCAACAGTAAATAATATTTAACAGAGTTTTTTTAGAAAATTGTAATATTTATAATAGTAACAGCTAAAATTAAATAAATAATATTAGTACTGTATTTAATTTTAATACTTACTAAAAAAATATTTGGTGCCATTTTTGAATTTTTGAAATGATTTTTGTATAATAGTGGGTGGGTACTGTCTGTAACAAGTATATAACGTCTTTGTGACGTCTTCATATCTCTCCCGTGACCATGATTGCTGTAAAGTATTCGAAACGTCAGGAACCAAAAATCAAAATAAATCCGCGAAATAATACGAAAAGATAGTTTTATTTAAAACGTCAAATGTTCGCGTAAATCTAAGAAAGTATATCGTGTTTAATATTTATTTTATAAGTTTGTAAAAATAAAATATTTTTGCTGCTATAATATAAAACATGTATTTATATGTTTAAGTGGCATAACTTAGCATTTTTGCTATCTAATACATCAAAACAAAAGAAAATAATAAAAATAGATATAGATGAGCATAGAACCTCCTCCATTTTGGAAGTGGGTTAAAAATTCATTCTTAAATGAATTCTTATCGTAACTTTAGTAGAAATATTTGAATGTGTTGTAATATGGTTTGTTTTTTTTTTGTTTTTGTATCTCTGTATATAGTTTCAGATTTGTTTCTAGACGTTAATTTTTTCTTAGTTTAAACTTAGTTATAACGTAAAATAAATTAATGAGCAAGCTGTGGTCTCCTGTATGTGAAGGAGCACACGTATTGTGAGTCTTATTTGCTTTTTGTTTTTATATGATGTTGTATATTGTGTGTATCTTTTGTTGGAAATCCTAATTAAAATACAATAAAATAAAATTAATAATACTTAAAAGAACAATGTGAAAAATAAACATAACTTATAAGCATTATATGTAGTTTCATCTGTTATGGCACTACTAAGACGTTAAATGAAACAGTGGTTAACGTAGCGCCATCTCCCGCATTTGGTAAATAATAGTTGCCATCATTATAAGCCTGCTTTCTTCCACTGCTGGGTGTGGAACGCCACTGAACTTGTAGTGGTAAAATATGTTGAGTATTTGTACTTCGCATACTTCTGTTTCATGGTATTCGATAAGTTTATTTGAACATGGAACTGAAGTACAGGAAATTTAGAAGGAAGGTAATATGGACTTAAAATACAGGGAGTCTTAGTTCAGGCATCAGTCTCTATTATAATCTTGTGTTTCTTGTAAGCTCATAAAATTAATTGTACTTGTAATTGGAAAAATTAATTTTATATTATTATTATTTTATTTTTACACTTATAAAACTTTTCAATTATAAAGATAATTTTTACTAAGCCATGTGTAATTTAAGGAGAAAAAAATGTAAAGGGGTAACTATAATGTATGTAATAACATATTTGTTTAAAATTACTTTTTTCTGAAGAAGTATTTGTACTTCGCGCATATTTATAATATATAGAGGAATTCATAATGCAGATTAAGAATTTTAAGACTTTGATTAATGCAGTTTATTTGGTATAATTCCGATATTAGACATAACTAAGATTTTTGTCGAATGTACTCTCCATTGGGTTTTAATTGGACCCAGTTGTGCAAAAAACAGCCTTGTGCGTAAAAGTACCAACAGAGTTATAAGCATTTTTCTGTGATAGTTGCACTTGGTTTATGTTTTGTTATTCTGGTTATTTTAAAATTGAACAATATTTATATAAGTATTGTTTATTTTTGTATCCTATCCAGTATTTTGAACTGTTGCTATTAAACCTGATAATTACGTTTTAGACTTAGCTGTTTCATACAAAATAGCATATTTTACAGTAATCACAATAAAGCTTAATCCAGCCACATGAGTTGGCTGTGTTTTGAGTTATTTTTATAACAGCAAAATAAATAAAAACATACAAAAAATCTATAGTTACAAAAATCATGACACAAAATAATCAAAATTATTTTGCTGTTTTCATATTGTTTTTGATTATTATTATTGGATTTTATAAGAATATGTTATAAAATAAATAATATTTTAATTAATAAAACAGCCAGGATGGTGTGGAAAAAAAACCCAACTACCACTAATAACAAATATCTATTTGACAGAAAACAGCCATCATAGATTGGCTGCTTCTTGCGTAACTTGAACACTTCTACCTCCTAACATTTTGGAATTTGTAAAAAACAGCCATAAAGGTAGGCTGACTTCTGCAATATAAGTATTTTAGTTAGTTTCAAAATTGGATGCATTTTACAGCAAGCTGACTGTTTTTTACGAAATGTGTTTGTTGAAATGGCTGGATTTGATGGCTTATTATCTCCGAAATTTATAAAGATATCGACATGGCTATTTTTGTAAAAAATCGCCATGTCTAAATTAGCATCGCTGTATTTATAACTCATTTCTGAAAAAATGTGTAATGGCTGTTTTCTGCATAACTAGGTCCAATTATTATATTTCTATATTCCAGGGAAACGGCCCTGGAGGAGTATCTCACGCAAAGTTTACAAACTATTCATTTGACGTGAAGGAATTTTTGAGGTTGGTAGAGATTTGTGCATCTTATGTGCGTCAGCGACAGGATTTCAGGAATTTCATTGAGGCCTCAACAGTGAAAAAATCACACGAAGAGCTTTAATAGATGTAACAGAATGTGATATTTTTGTTTTAGATTTCTGTAAGTTTTTTACGTAGGATCTGTTTCCAGGGCAATGACGTTAAAAACGTCCATTATGTAATAGATAGTTTAAAACTAACAAACTAAAGCTACAGTAATGCTTCCACATAAACGCACGAATTTTCCCATCACCGTGATATAATTGAAGTAATTTATTATTACAGTTTCGATATGTTGCATTATTTTTAATTTATTCATATCCATACTAATATTATTAATGTGAAAGTTTGTGAGGATGGGTGGATGTTTGTAACTCTTTCACGCCAGAGCGGCTAACGGATCGAACAGCTAATGGAATTTGGCACAGAAATAGATTATAGTCTGGAATAGCACATAACTTATGTGATATTTTTTGCCACCTTCTTTCCATTTAGAATATTATGGTTTGTAGGCTTATGATTGGGAAAAACATTGGCTTGTTACTATATTTTTTTTCAATTCTTTTCTCATAAGGGGATAATATTTTTCTTTTATAATAAATTAGAATCTCGCCATGACGTTTATAAAATTAAGTGAGCTATCCACCACCTGTTAACAATTGATTTTGAACAAAATAAACGAGTAAACTAATTTCTCGTATTTTTTTTGCACCGCTAAATATTTTACGCGTTATAGTACTGTATAAAATTAAAATCTAAGAGATCTGAAGGTATGATGTATTAAGTTTTTTTTTATTTTTTCTTCTATTTTATATAGTATGAAATAATGAAATAACTAATTTAGTTAAAGGTGGCTAAAGTCGATGGGTATGTTTGTTTACTTAATTTTTACTAGGCTCATGTAAATTTTATTTAATTTAAGGATTGTAAATAAGGGCTTAAACTTTCTAAGCAAAACAAGCTAGTGGATATACCATCGATTGCTATTTTTTATATTAATATGTAAAAGTATTCAAGTACATTATTTTTATAAAATAATCAATCAGCGATATCATATAATCATATATATATATATATATATATATATATATATATATATATATATATATATATATTTCGTTTCAAACTATTTTTGTTAATGTATAAATGTTAAATTTATTGATTTGGATTGTACACTGTCTGTTAGTAAATTAGTGAGTGAATTAAATTAACATTTTTATTAATCTGAAAACAATCATTTAATCTTCAATAGTTTCTTCATTATTTGACATAATATATTGGATTGTAATTTATTATGTGACTTGTAAGCAATGTAAGCCATTTAGATTAACTGTTTTTCTATAGATTTCAAGAATTATTTTCTTTATTAGGTACAGTCAGTAAATATGTTGTGACATTAACACACAGCGCCATCTAGTTCCATGGTAAGCTACGAGGCTTGTGCTATGGATACCAGATAGTTGATACAATACACATATATAACTTTAAATACATACATATTATAAATATAAACACCCATGACTAGAGTACAAACATTCGTGCACATCACACAAATGAATGCCCCCAGCGGGACTTGAACCCGCGACCGCTGGAACAGCAAGTAGGGTTACTACAAACTGAGCCAAACGTGTCGTCCGTCAGTAATTTCATATATAACATAGATAACAATATTATTTTTTAGTTTATCATATAAGAAGGTCAATAATAGAAAGAAAGAATAGAAAAGTATCAAGTATCTATAAAGGTAAATCCAGATAATTTCACATATTAAAGGAAAGAAACAACAAAATCAAGCACAGCGCCCCATATACTATTGTGATTGAGCTAAAGCGAAAGTGCTTAATTATCTACACAATCAAATGCTTTAGATAAGTTGCAAAAGATCCTATAATAATCTGATATTGCTCCCATACATCGTAAATACTAAATGTGCCTAAGAAGAGCAGTCACATCAGTTGTTGATTGACCTTTGGTGAAGCCACACTGTCCTCAAATCACTTCATAATTGTTGTGTGTGACAATAAAACTTGAATAGAAACTTACTAGTTTGCTTTTTTGAATATTTACGAGTGATAATATTTACGCCGACTGAAATCTACGTTAGGTTATTTACGCTTTTAATCGAAGGTACTACTAGATCTTTTTGGTAACTTTGGGGGTGACCCTTTATTCCCCTATCCCTTTAATCGACTCTTGCCCGATTTCGCCAACTTCCCATAAGCTACCACCTACGTATGGGATCCCTAGCTTAAAAGTTCCCCTAAACTAGCGCCTAAATTAAATTTAGTTTTACCATCGTCAGAGCCCGTATTTCTAACACCTATATTTAGGTGGTATTTTAACATTTAGGTGACCCCTAACTGTCGTTGAAACGGAAACTGTCCCCTAAAACAGCCCCCTAACCATGCTTAGGGGATCCCTTAAACTTAGGTGACGTTGGTGAAATCGGGCATCTGTCTTTGAATTTGAATTGTGATTTAATAGCATACTTCCTTAAGTTTGATTCTTTTCTTTCTTTTCTTATCAAATTCCAGTGTATTTTCCACCGATGATTCTCTTATGACTCAGTGGTATCCCAGTGGCAATACGCTACTACTAGTGAAGCGGGTTCAAATTCCGGGTCACGCAGACCCGATTATTTCATGTGCGAATCATTAAATATTCTGTCTTGTCTTTTAAATTTAATGATTGCAGAAGAACAATGAATCTGATGCGCGTTTTATTTTAGTTCTTGATACGTTCAAATTCAGTATGTTATATTTTCTTTTTTATTGTGTACCATATTAAAATATAGTCATAAAGTATTTTAATGAATATTATTCGATTTTAAGATTTTTCTAAATCCATTGCTAATTGCTTACTCATGGTTAAGATATAGGTACCTATTAGAGATGCGCCGAATGTTCGGTTGAATATTCATATTCGGTATGATCGGCGTATTTTTATATATTCGTATTCGGCTGAATATTCGGTTAATTTGCCGAGTAATTGTAGAATATTTATTTAGTATAATTTTAAGATTAATATGTGCTAAAAGCTTTATTCAGAAAACCGTACACGGTTACATTACTATTTGTAAATGAGACACACTCATTTGGGTAACAACTTTTATAAACGTGTTTTACTTTGCGATAATGAATTGAATAATTCGGCCGTATATATGTTTCGGTACATTTTGAACGTAAAATTCGGCCGAATATTTGTATTCGGTTAAACCTATATTAGGCGCATCTGTAGTAGTTAGTAGGTACCTATACACTTATAAATAAAATTAAAGAGTAATATTTGTAATGTATTATTTTAAAGCAGTAAAAGTCTAAAAGATGAATTTATGTAAAGTTTCTATTATTATTATTAGTATTACTATTTAACAATTTATAGATGTGTACGAAGTTTTAAATACCACCACATTACCCAAAATTATGTCACGAAATCAAAATTGTAATAGACATTTAAATAAGCATATAGAAATACAACATTTGTAATGATTTGCTTTAAGTTCACAATTCTTTGGCATTAATTGTTGTGGACGTTTGAACTTCCGTTATTAGTCTTATTACATTGAAAGTATTGAGAAGCGTCAACAACGCAGTCTTATTTATGACAATGTATAATGAAAATTAGATAAAGTAACACAGTGGTGGGTATTTAAATGATTTTGTGGAACTTATGTGTTAAGTTAATAACTTAATCTGTATTTTTATACTCGTTTATTAAAGTGAGTAACCTCTTTAATTTATTTATACTTATATGAATTACATGTGATATCGTTATATTTTAATAAAGAAGATAAAAAAATGATCTGTGAAATGAAAGCATTCCAACTTTTGTATTTTGTACTTGTACTTAATAGGTTTAAATTTATTTAATTTAATTAATTTATAACATTTTTATAAAAATGTAATTTTACTGTAATTTTAGATATCATTTGTTCATTTCAACTGAAATATAATAATTATCGTATGTATTTTATCTAAAATCAATGTTAATTTTGCCATAAGAGTGCCTTAAATTAATAAATTGAAGACGTCGTTATTGTTCTGATTAATTATTATTTATTTTCGGTTATAAATTACTTTTTTTTATTGTGATACATACTACTTACATTTATATTAGTATGGTATATTAGTATGGATATTCAAATATTTTATTGTAAAAAAAATAACTTCAATTTTTAATTTATTAATTTAATGTCGTTATTGTTGGTTATTTTCTATTTTCGAGAAGAATCATTTTAAATTTTAAACCTAATAATACTACAAGATGTATCGTGACAATATGCTAAAACGTGCTTTTGTGGTGTACAACAATAACATTAACATTCTCTGTCTACAGAAAATTTACAGAAAACTAACCTTAATTATTGATTCAAAAAGAATAAAATATCCAGTAATAAATTCCCGTTTTATTTCTTTAAAATTAGCCTCAATTTTACCAAATTTAAATGAGTTAATCAGTGTTTGAAATAATTATAAAAATAAAACCCTGCGACTGCGTAAAAAGCAAACTTAAAAGAAAGGAAAAAGTTAGCGAAGGAAAATCCTGTTTTACGTCATAAACAAATTAAAAAAATAAAATAAATAAAAAAATATAAAAATAAAAATCTCGACTACGTAAAAAGCCAACTAAAAAAATCAAGTTTCTATAGAAACGTGCTAGACGTTAAGACGTAGTAGAAAATTTTCCTCTCATACGCGCAAAAAAGTTCACATCGTAAGAATGGAACACGTAAGCTAAGGAAAATACGAGTAGTATGAACAAGCTAGATGCATCTGATCGTACATAAGAGTATAACTTGCCTCATTGCTTAGCATTTTTAAATCATAAACAAGTTTGGATTCGTTTCAATTAGTGTAAAGACTTTCTTCATTTATAACTATGTAATCATTTATACTATATACATACGATACTCAATAGTACTTGTAAATAGATACGCACAAGGAAGTGAAATGGCAGTGGGCAATGCTAGTTACTTGTATTACGAATGTTCGCCGAAATACTTTAAGATGGACGCGAACTGAAAGACGATAAGAAAATAGCACTGAAGGTAAAAGAAATAATGATAAAAGTCTGAGAAGG